TCATACATGGTACACGTCGAAAAAAGGTTTCATACAAATAGATACTTAAAAAACAGGTCTGTCTACTCCGGTAATTGTCGACTATGGCTTTTATAAAAAGGCTTCGACCTAGTGAAGCAGTTAATGAGACTCTTGACAAAGAAGTAAAAGGCAATATTCAATTGAGCTTTGACAACCGAACAGAAAAATTTAAAGTCCATGTAAAATAGGTTTGAAAAGTATTAATTAAGCGAAAAATGTCGATCTTACTCCACTTTAGTGGAAAAGAAGTAGAGATATCGAAAACAACCTAAAGCCCTTATGCTTCTGATTTGCACGTATCCGTCATGCTGTAGTATATTGCAACATGGTACAACCGCAAGTTGTTGGAGATGTCAATGTAAAGTTACTAAAGGCAATTAATGTTCAAGGAAAATATTGAGGCATTGTCATATTGAGGAAATCCCATCTCATTTGAACGAGGGAAGTCGATAGTGACACTTCATTTCAGAGCACAAGCCTCATCTTATTTTACATAAGAAAAAATATGAGTTGAAAAACCGTTATGTTCAATATTATCTCAATCAGCAAAAAGATACAGATCGCAACCTGTCATTAGGGGAGCATCCTGGCAAAAAGGTTATGGTCAAATGGGTTATGACCTTGTTGGTTTATTGCGTCGATTGGCTCGAGCTGCAATAACTTTGGTAAAATATGGCGCAAAAGCTCTAGGTAAAATTGTCCTCGATACAGGTGCAAACGTTTTAGGCAATGTAATCTCAGGGAAATTTTTAAAAAGGTTGCAAAATCTGGTGTTAATCCAGCATCAAAAGAAACAGGGAAGAAAATCTGTAAGCCGTATGAGCAGTTTGCTCAAACAGGAAGAGGAACCCCCCAGAAGAAACAGCAAAAAATAACAAAAAATATAAAAGCATAGTCTTTTCATGTCATTTACCGTTCAGCCAAGAGACATAAAGCAGCTAAAGAAGCAGAAGATATTTTTGGTTAAGTGTGGAGTTCCTTCATCCAAAATCAGCAGAATGTACAAAAAGTGAACTTGATATATTTTTCGTACCCCCAACGCAAACCAGTTTGGAAAAGGGGAGATGGATAGACCATTCACCTAGGACCGCTGAACAATTTATTGCATAGATTGTTTAAGCAAGTTAATGTGTTTTTGAAGGGTAAGTTAGTAACCCAAGCGAAAGGAACTTATCTTTATCGTGCATATATCAATACACTTTCGAATTATGGTGCATCAGCTAAACAATCCCAGCTGTCATCTGCGTTGTTTTAAAAAGACGAAACTTCAAATATGGAAGGTGCTGACCCAATAAACGCCAGTCCAAACAAAGGCTTGAAAACACGAAGTAAGTTTACTGCGGGAAGTGCAATTGTCGAAGTGGGAGGCACCATATTTTGTAATGTTTTCTTCGGTGAACGCCTCCTGCTTAGCTTTGTTGATTTGAAAGAGGTAGTGAACCGTACTGGTGACGAGTTCGCTCTAATGGCAACGGAGAACAATGCAGCCTTTAAAGTGAAACTGGTGGATTTTTATAAAAAGTTCGCAAAGTAAAAGTGAATCCTAGTAAAGCTATGTCTCGCGAAATTCCACTGAAAAAAAGCCCAGCCGTTTAACCTGTAAGGCGTGTGGACTGCAAAAGTTTCATTATTCCATCAGGAATCCCATCGCTGCAAAAGATAATATTTTGAACGGTTTGGTGCCGAAATCACTTGAGTTGGTCTTGTTGCATGCGCTGCATTGAAGTGTGCCTATAAAATGAACCCATTAAATTTCCAGCATTTCAACGTTCCTTCCTTAGGCATTTCAGTAAACGGCAGATCCCTACCATCGAAGCCTTTCAAGCTGTCGTTTGGTAACAATCCTAGGTACATAGAAGCATTTCTATCACAATTCGTGTTTCAGGCATCAAATCAAAAACTTCTACATATATCAGACGTCAAATCTACACATATCACGTGTCAAATCAAAACTGCACAAAGCAAAGGGTTCTGCACAAATCTACACATATCAGGTGTCACAAATCAACCTACACAAATCTACACATATCAGGCGTCAAATCAAAACAGTACAAAGAGTTTTGCTTTGTGCTGTTTTGATTTGACGTTTGATATGTGCAGTACGAGAGAACATTTTAATACAGTGCAAAAAGGAAATCTTGCCATTGACATACAATTCTCAACAGCACCAACTAATGCCGTTAGTCTTGTCTGCTATGAGATTTTGAAAATATAACCCACATCGACTCTAAAAGAAATTTTGTCTATGACTATATTGGTTAAATTGACACCTCACAAATATCATCTACTTTGAGATCGGGTCCTGTTACAAGCAAGAAAATTCTTGGTGTTTTTCCAGCCAATCGTTTACCTAAGGTAATCAAAAGCTGTCCTAATGGGCTTATAGCAAAAACAAATATCAGCGGAAAACCTGCAAGTCATTGGGTTACATTTTCCTTTCGTCTGAACGAAGAGCCGAATTCTTCGACAGCTATGGACATATCATAAATAGCTTTCCGAGATATATCATAAATTCTTTATAGACTATTTAAAGCTTTATGATTGGGATTTTAATACACGCAAATTACATAGTATTTGGAACGATATATGTGGACAATATTGTATATTTTATCTAAGCCAAAGAGTGCGAGGACATAAGATGAGTAGAATTGTAGGCATGTTTGATGATAATACTGTTGAGAACGATAAGAATGTATCAAATTTTGTAAACAAACATTTTAAAAATAGAAACTTGTGTAATCTCAAACGATGGAAATAAGACAAGTACAAACTTATGTGTAAAAGATTGAAGTGTTTAATTATCAATAATAAAGTTCTTTGTGTAACTTAATTCCTTGCGTTTGTATTTACATATTCTAACTGAAGACATTCAGGAAATTGATATCAACTGCGATATTTATTTATAGAAAAAATTCTTTACAAGACTTATTAATAGCTTAACCAACTTAAATGAGTTTTCTTGTGTGTAGAGGAAGCTTTGGGCGTTGTCAATTTCACTTTTAATGAACTAGGATAAAATGTTTCGTTTTCTTTACGTGGTGAAGTTTCCATTTGAGCCTCCTTCCATCTCATATCGTTCCTAACCAAATCTCGAGGAATGTTTATTTTTTGTAAAGCACGAAAGAATTCTTTAGACTCTTGAGAATTGAAATTTTTTATTTCCTCTCGCAGCATCACTAATGAGATCTGTTATGTATGATTGCGAAATAATGACTCCCCAATTTGACTTGTCTAGAACCGTCCCAAGATATTATACTCGGTGTGTTCTAAGACGCTGCAATATTGCTTTCGCTTGCTCACGCATAATTTTTGGCACACTTTGTACAAGAACAGAGTCAGCTAATATCTGAATTTCATTGTCGCTTATTGAGCTTTTCCATTCCCGTAAACAGTGTCTAACACGCGTACCATGGGTATCTGATTATCTTTCTGTTGCTTCATTTTAAGGAACTGTTCAAAGTTTGCGTTAAAAGGTTTTTGCCTTTGATCGTCACTCATGCCGTCTTCTTGAAAAATATGTGAGAGCTGCAAATCTATATTTATTATATTCATCATGATCGGACTAGTTTCAATTTTTTTTTGCTTTTCTTATCTGTTAAATACATCTTCAGGAAGAAGAATCATACGTTTGACATGTATCATTTTGTGACTAAACTTCCCAATACACTTCCTGCCTTCTGATTCAAAATTTTTTTCTTCTTTGCTCGTGAGATTTTTTTGTTGGCTAGCGCTCCCAGGTTTTTTTTTGCACCTTGAAGACAGTCACTTTTGAATAGCAGATACTGGGGCAGTTTCTTCTAAAACATTGAAAGCACATTCACATATGCACACAATAACGTTAGAGGGTCCAATTATCACCTTTCGAACATTTGGTTTAGATTTAGCTGGAACTTGCAGGTACGGAATATAGTTCTTCATTCGTTTCGACATGATGCATTTATGTGTGTTTCTGTCGATGCTTATCGCATTTGTACATACGCAATGTGCTTTTCATGAGGCAAAATGCTTGTTCTGACACGCAAATTGTCAGGGGTTAATTGATGTTAATCTAGCATGAGATAAACGTACGTGCAACTCGTAGCGTCTTGAAACGAGTCCAAAAGGTAGTTGACATTCCTAGGGTACATTTGACGGCCAAAGTTGAAATACCTAGAGAATCTGCCGGGTTTTTGAAAATGATCATATAATGAGAGTTAAGGCTTATCGCTCTTGATTGTTTACCCGGATAGAGTAAATATTGCGTTAAATACATGACAGATATCCCGCCATGATGTGACCCACGGGTGAATAAGTGAGTCATTCGTTGATCATTAGAACATTCTAACATAGGATCGTCTACAATGATTAAAGGCGGATCTCCACTAGACGATTTTTGTGACGGTCGTCTTAAAAATTCGCTGTGCCACATGCGCAGTAGGAAATAAAAATCGTCAACTAAATCGTCAAGCGCTCGACGAAAAGTAGAAACGGTTTCTAATTTTCATCGAGCGCTTGACGATCGTCGTAAATTGAACCAATGAAATTTCATCCCGTGAAACTAATTACCATTTCTCTAAAGTCAAAATGGCTGCCACCAGTGGAGAAAACGAATTCCAACTGAACGGTACAAATCCTGTAGAAAATATACCGTCAGAGATTCAAATACTTGCATCTCTGAGGAATATATCAGTGGTGCAATATTTTGTTAATCAAAATGTGGTACAAGATGTTGGAGAGCTCGATAAGGAAATGTTTTTGCAAGCTCTCCGAGACTATAGTTGCTTGTGGATACAAGCAATATAAGCTACAAAAATAGGACCATAAAACTTAATGCATGGAAATCTTTGTGTCGAATGTTCCAGCGAGAAGGTAAGTGTTCTAAATTAATGGAGGACTTCAAGAAACTTGAGAATTTTACTTATGTGTTGTTTGGTTATTGTGATGTAACATTTTAAACATGCTAAAGTGGACAGGAAAACTTCTCGACGTTTCTGCGTAAGGGTGTTCGTCTCACCATTTCGTTTGACTGTGCTCCTTGACTATATGTGTTATTTCGTATTTTATGTCAACTCTAACAAAAGTTGTTTCTTGCCGTTTTTTCAGTTCCATACCTTCAGAAAATTTTTAAGAACCTTAAAGATTCTCTAAAAAAATGCCTTGATAGGAGACGAGCATTGTCTAAATCTGGGGCAGCTGCTTCGACATTTCCAACATGCAAATATTTTGAGGTTATAAGATTTCTTCATGAGAAAACAAGCAATTTGGAAACTCACAGCAATTTGGACCTCGAAATCCAAACAATACCAGAGAACATATTGGACATATCCTCATCACAATCTCCAGGACCTAGTCAGCCTTCTTCAAGCTGTTCAAGCGTATCAGATGAGGCAAAATATGCTAAAAGAAAACGTCCTAATTCTAACGATCAACTAGACCCATTTCTTGACAATGTGAAGAGTATGGACCAGAAAATGGTAAATTATTTAGAAGGAATGTCAAGTAAAAGATAAAATGAAGATAAGGATGAAGCAGAGTTCTTTTGTATGAGTCTTGTTCCAGTTTTAAGAGATATGGAAAAAAAGCAACTCCGACAAGCTAAATTAAAAATTCAACAGCTTTTATATGATTTACAATATTCAGATACCTAAAGAAAATTGTTGTAGAACTTCACAGATCACATTAAAAATTAATAACATACTCTCACTTATACAAGATACATTCCTTCCTATGAATACAGATATATAGCAAGTGAAATCATTTATTTTTAGAACTATAGCTTAAACATGTATTGCTAACTACATAAGTGGAAAACCCCTTTCGTATGAAAACCCATCACATCACTAATGCTCATATTGAATATAAATGGCTTTAAATTTGTTTTTTATTTTGAACACCTTACTATATGCCACTGCCAGTCAACTGCTCCTTCATTATTAAAATAATCAGCAAATTATTTACGAACCCACTTAGCTTCTGCACCATAGTTATTTGATGCACCAGCATCTGTAATGTCACCCAATCCATTCATACAATTTGCATCTTGTCGCCACTCACCAGGTTTAAACTCATTACCCATTTGCCCATCTTGATCAGCAAATGATGGTGGACAGTATAGATTTGAATCGTCATCTTCATTTATGCTCATAAGGAAGTTATGCAATGCCACAACAGCTTTAGTTATGGAAATCACATTATCAACTTTGGCAAATATAGGCCTATGAAACACATCAAACCGACTAGCACAAATACCAAAAGCATTTTCAATGACACGTCTGGCTGTTCTTAGCCTGTAATTGAAAATTAGTTTCCTCTCAGACAGATTTGAAAAGGGATAGGGCTTCATCATGTGGCGTTTTAGGCCAAATGCATCATCCCTTACAAATACGTGGGGTAGTACTTTCGTTGAATGGGTAATCTTGCCATCTGTGGGCATGTTGAGAAGCTTGTTTTCAATAGCATAGCCAAGATTGCTGTTGGCATACACGCTGCCATCACTTTGCCGCCCACTATCACCAATATCAATCAGTGTGAATTTATATTTTGCCTCACTAACTCCCAACAAAACAATGCTATGAGTCTTTTTGTAATTAAAAAAACTCTATGCCTGTCCAGCAGGAGCAAACATCTGCACATGCTTTCCATCAATTGCTCCCAGCATATTAGGAAAGTTCCATCGATCTTCAAAATCTTTAGATACTTTTCTCCAGTCACTTTCAGTGCAAGGTGTTTAAATGAAACCCATTTCCTTTAGTTTGTCCCAAAGTGCGTTGCATGTTTCGTAGATAATTCGACCAACAGTCGTTGAGCTATTTCTATAATTGGCAGCGATAGTTGTATGACCATCCCCAGTTGCCAAATATCGCAGAGTGACTAAAAGTCTTTGATCTACACTTATTGGTTCTCGCATTTTCGTCTCTTTCTTTCTTATCAACCGGGCAATATACCCCAACAAGGTCTCAAAAGTGTCAGGTAACATCCTGAAATATCTAAAAAACATTTCATGATCGTATAATCGCAAGTATTTAACCAGCAAATTGTACTCGCCTTTCTCATTTCTTTCCTCGTACAGTTTACGCATCCAAAATCTTGGTCGTTTTCGCTTTGTTTTTATGGATCTTACTTTACATGCATGCAGTAAAATCAAATGCCTTCGAAGAAGTAAATAATGCATTAAAGTTTGATTCACATCCGCCATTTTCTCAATTTCACATTGCAATTTGCAATCGTCTTTGACGATTTTGTTGACGATTTTGTTGACGATTTTATTTCCTACTGCGCATGTGGCGCAGTGAATTTTTAAGACGATCGTCATAAACATCGTCTAGTGGAGATCCACCCTAAAGCGTTTTGACATCCTTCCAAAATATCCGTCAAGTTTTCAGGAAACCCTTCAAGCAAAATTACATTCGGTATCCTTTTAAACATTTTGCCAAATTCCAAGGTTTGCCGTAGCAGTAAATGAATTTACATGTAACTGGGTGAAATAGCTCATTTAAGTTAGAAAGCATTGACCTAACGAGATGGCTCTTACCAGATTAGCTTCACTTACATAATTATCAGTAGGAATTCCTATTAAAGCTTTCTACAGGATCCTTATGGAAATTGGCCCATGAGCCTAAAGGAATAATCTATAGGATGCTGTAAGAACCTATACAAATTGAAATAAGAATTTCTACAAGTATTCCTATAAGAATTCTTACAAAGTAATCCTTTTGGAAATCCTACAAGTTTTCCCATACAAGTTATTGCTATAAGAATTCCTACCAGATCTCCAAAAACCTATTAAAACTTCATAGAGGATCCTATTGGAAATTGGCCCATGGTGGCGAAATCAAAAATCAATTCCTCTTCAATCACGTGCTGTTGCTGTTCGTAATGGTTCTGAAAACTCATTATCTAATGGCTAAATTTTGACATGTATTGTTGCTCTGCTTTGAGGAGTTTAATCAATGTCAGCTCGTAAAGCTGTTGTTTAAATTCTGGTAAAGAATTCAAGCATCTGCAGCCTTTGATTCAAGAGATGACATTATCATTGTCGTTTACACAACAACCACTCCATGCCACAATGCTCCTTTTAATTCATGCATTAGATATCTGAAGAATCCAGCATAGTTGTAATTTTGGAAAAAAAATAAATAGCATTTCCTATATATTTCGATTGCTATATAGGTTTTTCCAATAACATTTCCAGAAGATTTCATATAAGAATTTGAATATTTATATAGGTTTTTATTTCCCACTATTTTCTTAAAGGATTTCAAGTCAGAATTGCAAAACAAATCCAATTACGGATTCCTATAGGATTTCCTACGGGAATTTAAATATTCCTATTGGCTTTAAAATTGCCGCCATTTTCTTAATATATTTCCTATCGGAATCGGAATGAAAATGAATTGACTCTGCCTTCCTGTAGGATTTCCTACAGGAATTTAAATATTCCTATAGGCTTTAAAATTGCCGCCATTTTCTTAATATATTTCCTATCGGAATCGGAATGAAAATGAATTGACTCTGCCTTCCTATAGGATTTCCTACAGGAATTTAAATATTCCTATAGGCTTTAAAATTGCCGCCATTTTCTTAATATATTTCCTATCGGAATCGGAATGAAAATGAATTGACTCTGCCTTCCTATAAGATTTCCTACAGGAATTTAAATATTCCTATAGGCTTTAAAATTGCCGCCATTTTCCTAATTTATTTCATATCGCAATCGGAATAAAAATGAATTCACTCTGCCTTCCTATAGGATTTCCTATAGGAATCTTATATTCCTAATGGAATTCTAATAAGATCCTATTAATAATTTTCGTAAGGGATATTTCCTCCGCAAATATAAAAGTTAAATGGTGTTTTAAAACGCACGTCCATTGTCTTGCAAATGAAAACGGAATTGTTTTACAACAGACTATATACCATCTTGCATGTATCAATTAAGTATGCTCTATAAAGAAGTGAAATACTTAATAAACAAGAAGCTGATTGGATGTTCAAGAATTATGAACAGTCAAAAACTCAACAACCTTTTATTGGCACAAATAATGTTAGAAACCTTGCATTGTGTCTCAGTACCAAAAGCAATGCAGCATCCAACATACTTCGTTTATCCTGCAAATGCAAAAGAATGGTCCACGACCTTAAAGATAGAATTGCAAAAAATATCAGACAGTTGGAAAATGATGAGTGTTTAAATATTCATCATTGTTATAAATTGAACATTGAAAATATGATTTACATGGATTAAGTACTTTTTAAATGTATGTTTGAAATATTAACACGATGTCAATAAGCATTAAATTAATAATTACTTTTAAACCTTCGATAAAAACAAACGTGATTTTCATCTTCAGACATTTCAATGTCGTTTAAAAATGTTTTATCATTTTCGTACTCAGATTGAAAATCCATATGTTCCTCGTCGTGAAATTCCGATAAACTTATATCGCTTGCGTTTTCTTCATTCAAAAATCATGTCATCGTCATCGTCATCCTTAACAACATCATTATACACCAAAACGTCTTCTATTTCTTCATCACTAGATGTCTCGTCGTTAGCTTTGTCATCAACACAGATATGATTTACTCTACACCCTAGTGCAGTGTGCTGTAACATTGTATAAAGCATTGAATCAGGAAGACGTATAATGTGCTTTACAGACGGACAAGCAGAGTTAGACACTGGTGGGCAATAATATCCGAATGGTATTGTGTCTTCCCCAGATTTGACAATAATTTTTTGTCGTAGACGATCTGATACTGCTTTACTTCTTTCTTGTTGACCAGCCAACTGGTCATTTTTTCTCTTGTTATTTTACTGTTATTTGCAACATCTTTTTTATTGTTTAAATTTTCGACATATGAACGTGCATAGTTATGTATTATTTGTAGAGTAGAATGAAAATCAGGAATTTGGCTATTTTTAAAATTCAAAGTAAAACCTTGTATCTTACAATGATTTTTCCATTATTTACAACGTACGCATAACTTTTTGGACCACGCATGCAATTGTTGTAAGGTAACTACCTACCCCATGTTCTTGAGTGATTTCGTTTTTTAAATTACCCAGGTAA